TATATATATATATATATATATATAATATTTCGGGCGACCTCGGGGAGCGATCAATCGGCGCACACAAAGTCTAACTGGCCAATAGGAAATGGACGCGGTCTGTTGGATTTAGGCGCAAAATTTTAGGAAAATAACTTGTCAATAGCTCGGAAAATAAACGGTTTTGGGAGGATATTGACGTCCCAACAGCTTCAGAACTTGGATGACGCGATGTTGGGAAAGGGAGTTTTCGCAAGCTTTTCAAACCCAAGTGAAGGTAGGAAGGAGGGAGAACGGGTTGCAGTACTGTTGCCTTGCTGTACTCTACACGAGCCGATGTTTCGACTACAAGAATATCCCAACTCACTGTCGTTCACGATCGGGAACAAATCCGAACACGGTATTGTTCAGTTTCTGCTCCACTGCTTTACACGTAGTTGTTGCGTGTACCTTGGTTGGCACAACGTCTGGTGCGGATTGGCCCAAATTTCTCAAGCTGGGGCACCACTGACGCGTCATTTGTTCGAAACAACGAAGTGTGTACCCGATTATCCTTACTGGCCGGCCATCTTTCGTCTGTACAAATGCTTGGTCAGAGTGCATGGCCAGCCTGTACCTACCTAAATCAATTAGATGTGACCCACGGGGTTGTTTTTCGCACCTTTCCCCTTGTGTAAAAACGCGAATTTCAAGATTCTATGAAAACCTAGCCTGGAACTCTCTTCCTTTGTCGATACTACTGTTTGGAATTAGCAAGTGCTCCACTTGAAGAGTCACCCCCATGTTTGTTTATTAGCTCACACATAGAAACTCGCTATCTGCCATGTTTTCCGTTTTTCGCTCATACCTTCCACCACACGGTAACCATAGCAATTATTGATCCGATTGTATGCGCACGTGGGCGTGACAAAGCGGATGTGAGCTTGTGGTTTTAGTTTCTTTTTTTCTCGGGTGCCAACTAATCTGTCATGTTCGCTTGAAAAAACGTCAGTAACGTGTACTTTGTTATCCGCGCGTAAAGTTGCCCCTTCAACTTGTCACATTGTTCCTAGTTGTTGTAATTTAGTCGCTTATGGTGCACGGTTTTTCACTGTTGACCACACAGTTGAGGCAATCAGTTTCATTACGGTAGATTTGTGCCTTCCTCCAACAATTGACGAGGTTTTGTGAACAAAACTGGTCCTTTTTGGGGTGTTGAAGTGCTGGTCTTTTGTATTTATGCGTACGCATCTTTCGGATTCTGTTTAAATCTCATTCAGTGAACAAAAAATCGGTGTTTTGTTTGCCTACTCGCTTAAGCCGATGCTCTAACTTATGATAGAACAAATGTCCCCACGACGTTGCTTCATCCGGCCCGTTGTCGCTGAAATCAATTATCCTTTTCCTCTACAAAACGATGAGAGCGTCAGCTTTAACGTAGAACTGGCCTGGAGAAGGAAGACCGCGAATCATTAGACTAGATTATCAGAATATTTGAGCAGCTCACCAATTAGCTGGAAGGTCAATTTACTAGACATTGGCTCTTATCCATTGGTTTTTAGTGTGTTTGTCACATTATGACGCAAGACGCAGATAGTCAGATGATGGGCCAATCAAGCTACGTACGCAAGACGAAGGTAGTCAGATGATGGGCCAATCAAGCTACGTAACTTCGGTCTCCAGATTCTACTTAGTTATCTCGTTCCGTAGTGTCGTTCGCGCTCTGGTTCACGATACCCTCAAGGTGCAGCTATTCCTCAACTATGGGCTGGGACGTAGTACGAAATTAACAAAGCACGGTTAGTGCTGCAGTCTACCCGGTTCGGTGACTTGGATTCCGCTGCAAAATAATCGATGCCCAAATGAGAGCTGACACTTGGTCGTTATGCTGAAACGTTTAGCGCTTCCCGTTTTCTAGTCCTGTCCGTGGGTTTTAATTCCATCTGGTATCCGTTCATGTGAGTGACAGCAGCCGGAGAGACGGCTGATGGACCCCGAAGCAAATCTGGCATCAGCAACGTCTCGGTTGGAAGTCATGATTTACCTAGCTCCATGTCAATATATTGCATCCTGTTTCAACAGACATTCTGTCCCTCTTCCACTATGAAGCTAGTCCTTGACTTGGTGAACCTTCAGAAATTTGACTCTGACTGAAGAGTAACGCTCATTTGCGTTATTGCCTTACAGGATGAACTAGATAGGACGTTGTGCTTATAAAGAGTCTACTGAATCTGCATGCGATTTTTGAAGTTTAGCTTTTCTAGTTGATACAGTAAATCTTCGCTGAAGCGGCCGGTCGCTAAATTATCTTTGGTAGAGTTCGTCGTCTCCAGACGCTTGTCCATGAATTCAGTCGACTCTCAGTGGTATACTGACGCGCATTTTTTGTAAGTATAAGGAGAGAGAGAATCAATCAATTGGAAAAGGTTTGGAACCGATTGAGAAGTCATCGTTTCAGAAGAACTTGGTAAAAAACCGGTAGTCTTTATTTGGGCAGCGTTTCGCTTTTGACGCAAAAGCTTCATCAGGCCAAGTTAACAGGTCACCAAATTGTTCAGGTTATAAGACTGCACCAAGGTCTATATAGGACAGACGGCCAGAGAACTACACGTCAGAGTCGGAGAGCATAGCAGAAAAATAAACAGGCCGCCGAGAAGCGCAGATGAATATCAAGCGTTACTGAAAGATTCGGCGATTGCGGAACACGCACTCGACACGGAACACAAAATAGATTTAGAAAATGTTGACGTTTTGAGGCGAGGACTACGGTCCACGTCACACAGACTGATCGCCGAGGCGGTAGAAATTGCTAAGCATCCCAGTGTTAACAGGATGGAAGGCGTGGAACTGGCTAGCGTGTGGAGAACGGTCTTGGGTCACTCGAGTTCACACGTGTTGGTGTGCCGTCATCAGAAGGAGGAGTAGTATTTATCTGAATTCCACTTAACCTCAACCCCCCTCAAACTAAATTGTCGGAGCGCTCACAACCCCACAAAGACCAGGGAAAATCTACCAGTGCCACCCGAGGTGAATCATCCAGTGAAGCACCCTGAAGTGGAAGACTAAGGAACAAAAAGCGATCGAAACTAATTTGGAACTCCTCCAACCCATTAATTCAGGATTTTGGCACCTATACTAGCCAGCAAGAGCCGTTAATTGACACACAACACTGATCTAGTGTGAAGAGGACTTACCGCTTGGTTGCCCGTCTGTTTTATAACCTGGCCAATTCGGTGACCTGTTCACTTGGCCTGATGAAGCTTGTGTGTCAAAAGCGAAACGTTGCCCAAATAAAAACTACAGATTGTTTACCAAGCTCTTCTGAAAGAGGGAGAATCAATTTGCTTTGCAAGGAGTTTGACTGAATCAGCCATAATTGATGCTTAGAACGGGATTGCTCGGTGGTTAAGGCACCGGACCGGAAGGTCCGTTGTTCGAACCCAACTTCAGCATCTTGACGGCTTCTGTCTAGGCTGGTATGGTCAACCAGCCCTGATGCATCCATCCGTTGACATGTCAGCTAGGCACCGAAAAGGTGATACGGCTGAACGATTTTTTTAAACTTTCCCTTAAAAAAGGTTTTAATATGTATGATTTCACTCTGTTTCCATCCGGCCTTCGTTGAATTGTCTAAATAATGGCTCGGTTCCAGAGTCCCTTGGCACACAAGGATTGGGTGTTGTTCACGGGTTCGCAATGAGTCCTACCAAAGTATCGTTTTTACGACAGTACGCTGTCGGATGGACAAAACGACGCATTTTTTGGTAATGTGCCCTCCTCAGGGAGATCCAGTTCACCCGGGATGCATCAGTATGTCCGTATTGAAAATGCGCCAGAGTGTGAGATCCATTCCTCGGGTGTCAGGGGTTGTCTGTGAGATCGCTATTTGAGATATGCCTTTGCGAGGTCTAAGCTCGATCTTTTCGGGCGGGGTATCTGAGGCATCTTGAAGTCTTTGATCATCGGTGTATCAGAATCATACGTCAATCGAATTCACAGAGATGATCGAGAAGTGCGTATTTGGTAGGACGAGAGGGGGTGGGTGGGGGGAGATGTCCCAGATAGTTAGAGCGCGAGTTTACTGACCGGAAGGTCCGTGGTTTGAACCCGACCTCTGCCTCTCGACTTCCCCTGTCTAGGCTTGGGCAACCTGGCATCATCCCAGCCCTCGTGCTTCCTGCCGGTGGTATGGCAGTAAGGCGCCGGAAACGTGCTATAGCTGAACGATTTGGTAAGACCCCATATACTGTACTTATAGAGTGCATACATCGCTGCAAACTCGGCAGTCCTTTCGCGTACCGCGCATAGCGTCATCTCTGGAGAATGGCATTATGTTCAGCACGAAATTGGTAGTGAGAAAATGCTATGAATTTTTTTGTTGGTGTTGTTATTCCCTTTCCAAGCTGTGGTCCGTGTGATCTTCCCTTCACTTGATTGGAAATTGCCAACAGCGGTCAGTAGAGTTCGTACTTTCACCCGTGCAGGTTGTCCGAGTGTTTGTTCGAAGATGTGTGCATATCGGGTGCTAGCGCAATGTCCCTTTCATCTTTGTTTTTTTTTTGGTTTCATGTTTCTATGATAGTTAATGATAGTTTCATTGACTCAATGTGTTTTGCCGAGATCAGCCTAATGAATCCCAGTTACTATTGCACTGAAGTTTTTCCCAGGTCGAAAACCAAACCTCCGGTTCTGCTGACTTCATTGAACTTCAGTTCATGGAATTTGTTACTTCCTTGCTCTCGGTTCAGTATGCGAGTTTTTGTGTGCGCCTGCTAACCTCCCGTCGGTGTTTCAAATTCAGTCTAACCCACAAGGTTGCTGAAAGCTCTTCGACAGTCTAGCCCGTTCTAACTTGTTTCCTTTCCTGGATTTCCTGTGTAACGAGTCTTGAACATTCTCGTCCTGATCTTGAAGGATATGACGGAATCATGATACCTACAGGTTTTTCCACATTTTTACCTCGGTTTAATGCATTTGACACATCTTGCCCTACAGTATCGACAACGTTTGGCAAAAATGCTAATGTGGTTGACGGCTTGTGTGCCTCCGCGACCCGTTGATCTATACTGGGGGTCATCTTTGCGACACTCGCAAAGTCTCATATCAGGTTGGTCAATGATTAGGTGTCTGACCAGCACAGTCTCCAAGCCTTCCAGTTTTGGGGCTGGAACGTCTGTGGCGACGTGTTCCGTAAACATTGGAATCTATTTACAGTTCCAGCTGAACACCGCTGCCTTTATGTTCAGGCTTTTGAGCCAAAGGCTTTAGTTGAGGACTCTAATCGTCCTCTTGTCTAGGTGTGGGCGCCCTGGTGTAGTATCTGTTACGGTTCGGCCACGCAGCGAGCAAACAATAAGATATACGGACTGTGACAATATTCTACCCCCAGCTATGTTGCTTGATCCAGACTCCTGGGACCGCGAATAGTAAGAAGACGAAAACCTCGGGAACAACTTTAATGATCCAAACAACACGCGATCAACAGGTAAATCCGGGAAAAATGACTATATATATATATATCCATAGTTTGACCTTGAAAATGCCGGAAGTTCGTTAGCACACACAAAGATACAGAGTTTTTGGGGATATTGATCTCTCCAACAGTATCCCAGCCCGCATACAGCAATGAACTGCACGTGTGCAGATAAACGGATGCCAAATTGACCGTCTCGTGGTGCCAGCAGTCGGGTCGGCTTATTCGCTGCATACAGCAGAGTGGGTAAGCGAAAAGGTGCTGTTGCTGACGCCTCTCTTCTTTCGATGATAATGATGATACTGATGACGAACTACTGCCCTGCTGCTGCAATCAACTCCGTATCGGTTAAAATATCGTTCCTTCTCAGGCCCGTTTTCAAGATTTCGAAAAGGTCGGACGAATAAGATAGATGGATTTTACAATAGCAGCTCAGTGTTGCCAAAATATTTTTTTATATCTAATGAGTAGGAGCGTTGTCTTGAAGAAAGAGTCTCTTTTTGCAGCTTTCCTGCAGCACCTCGTTCACTGCAGTAATTTCCCGTATTATCAGTTTAGCCTTTTGGAACATAGTTGAGCATCTCCGACCACTGTGGACATGATCTTTCCTGCTGATATTTGCGTCTTGAATTCAGTTGGTCTTGGAGAACCTGCGTGTCGTTCATATGCGGATTGTTTCTTCGGTCTTGGGGTCAACAGTATGTTGTAATCGTTTCCCAAAGCTGACCTAACCCCTCTGGGATTGCTGTAAAACCGACTTGGAGCGGTTCACTCGACGTCGTTTCTCGTTAACATTCAGACGTTTTGGCACCCATCTGGATGTAGCATTTCTCGTTAGCATTTGACGATCTTCCAGAGTGACGTTATGGTCGGTCCCACGAACACACTGAGGTCGCCCCGAGCCTGCTTCTTCTTCTATTTGAAAACTGCCTGCGGAAGATTAGCCCATCACATTTCACTCAGTGTTTTCAAGGCGCTGGTTTATTTTGTAGAACTAGTGAATTCATGGTTGCCTCGGAGTTGCACACGGGAAAACTCCACAGCTTTTGTTTACATGGTTAACTAGCTCCGTTTACAGTTTGGATCGCTAAGTGAATTTCAGACAACAGAAACTAGGTCAACCCGAAAACTTTCCAGCGCTCCATCGTGTTCCGCTCTGGAAGTCCATGCAAACAGACGAATCACCGAACTGTCATTGTGTTTTTATTAGGCTTCCATAATCTGATGATGTGTGGATTCTACACTCCATCCCAGTCGCTCATGTTTCTGTGCCCCTCTCTGACTTTGTTAAAATCAACCTTTTTCTTTGCATGAGTGCTCTGCGAACCGGATGAAACAAAGTTGTGTGGCTCCGGGATGTCAACCCAATTCTCACGAAGCTTTACGCACTCAGGGATGGATTTCCAACATGACCAGTTACAGAGACGCCAGATTTAAATGTCAACTTAGCCCGGCTCCCCTCAAACAGTCACTCGAAGTATCCATCACTAAACAAGTAGTCGAAAGGTGATGATGTAGGGCAGTGAATTGGGACAAGTCGGGAAATGAACCATGTTGGGTTGAGTCGAAGTTTTGTCGACACGCGTTCTTACCTGGAAGGGTCATATGAAACAGATGTGATTTTGGTGTCTGACAGGTGGGGAAGGTGAAGGGCAATCAAGTGAGGAACGTTTGGACCCGTTTGAGAAGTTATCCTAACACCGCATAGCCCACACAAGGTTTGTCAGCCACACGCAAGGGAGAGCTCCCCAAATGCAAGGTCCCAAAACTCAATCCAATATGGCAATTATTCCCCTTCAACCCATTCGTTGTAGGTGTCAGACATCCACACTAACCAGCAACAAACGAGAGCTTCTGACGACTATTGGGCACAGAGTAAATCGGTTGGTTGTAAGAGACCTCACCGACTGGTTCTCCCTCTGCTTTGGTCAGTATAGCCACTATCTAATCAGCGTCAGTGTTATCAAAAACAGAGACGTAAGTGTTGACATCGCTGTCTCACTGTTGTACAACAACAAGGTCTTAGAGAAATACACTCATTTGCAAACTAATTTGATTTCGCGAGAGACTCACCTGGAACCCAGCTGAATCTCTCGTTTGTGATGTTTCCAGGCAACTGAATGTGCTGCACCAGGCCGCCTCACGTTTCAGTCGCTACGATGTTCGAGATATCGCGATACATGTATAT